AGCTTTCTGGGGGCGGGGCGAGGCGGGGCGGGACTGAGCCGGGCGGGACTGCTGGGGGCCCTCGGAGAGTAGCAAGGCGTGGTGGGTACCAGATCCTCCTCGAGCTCGGGCCCTCAGACGCTCGGACAAACATGGTCCTTCCTCCGGCAGAGGAGATCGGGCCCGCTCCCGTGGTTGGTCGGGGCGATGAACCCGGAGCTCCCACCCGGCTGGGAAGAAGGCAGGGGCGGTCGAACCGAGTTGTCCCTTTAAGGCCGTGTTCTTGGTGACACCAGGTAAGTGAGCTGGCCCCCGGTCCCGGGAGAAACCCCGAGAAGGGGTAGGTCATTCCTGTGGTCTGGATAGGTGGTAAGAGTACCAATCTCCGGGCGTGGAATTGGGAAAGTTGTAAATGGGAGCGGGGCCACGCTTTTAATGAACAACCCGGTACTTTGTGAAATTTAACCGAGCTCCTGAAAAGGGCGGTGGGACCCAGCTAGGCCGTCCCCTCAGCTGGTTCCCGCGTCCGCAGGGCGCAGCCCTCCGTGAATCTTGGTAATTTCCGTAGCTTGTAAAGGGTTGGGGTGAAGTCAGAAGCTTCAGGTTTAGTGTTGTGTGGGGAGACAGAGGAACTCCTAATGCAAGCTATCGGGTGGCCCTTGGCCACAGGGTTCTGTGGGCACTTTCCTGGGCAAGTGGAGCTGGTCAGATGGGGCATCCAGCAGCTCCTGAGCCCTGAGAGTGTACAGAGCTGGCAGCACTGTGCCTCCCTGGAGCCCGCAGGGCACAAGGGTGAGGCTGGGCAGTCTGAGGACTAGGGGGAGGGTGGGAGCATTGTGAAGTCACAGAGGAAGTGAGATTTTGCGGCTGTGTTCTGGGGCTGCTGTCATAACAGGGGCCATGTGGGCTGACAGACTCAGTGCTCGCTGTCTGTGAAACAGATCCCTGGGATCATATCTGGTGCCCAAGGTGAACTGACCAGTTGGGTGAGGCCACTTCCTCCGCAAGGTCTCCCGCCATCCTACACTGAAATGAAAACTGTTCCATGTCCATCCTCCTAAAGCTTGTGTGCCGCCCACCATGTGGAAGGAAAGCAGTAGAGAGACAGAGTGGCGCATCTCACTGTCCCCCTTTCTCCTGCTTCTCCAGCAGACCACCCTTGCTCTGCCCAAGCCCAGCTCTGGGAGCTTTCTGTTCCTTCTGAGTAGGTGGCATCCAGCACTTGGGGTACCAGGGCTCTGGGGAGTTTGCGCTGGAGAGCAGATGCATCTGGAAGATGACCACTGACTCCCATCCTCCTCCTCCTGCAGATGCAGAGGCCTACATGGCTGTGATAAGCCTGCTGTTCTTGGCAGTCATGTACGTTGTTCACCACCCCCTAATGGTCAGTGACCGGATGGACCTGGACACCCTAGCCAGGAGCCGGCAGCTAGAAAAGCGACTGAGCGAGGAGATGCGGCAATTAGACATAGAGTTTGAAGAGAGGAAGCGGGCAGCTGAGCAGAAACAGAAGGCACAGGACTTCTGGCGAGGAGATGTATCAAAGGACCAGTTAGTGTTGGGGAAGAAAGACAGGGGGTGGCCATTCCAGGCTGCTGGCCAGGAAGGGCCTCTGGACTGGATGCTGGGAAACCTGTGGAATGCTGGCCTCGTTTGCCTTTTTCTCATCTTTGAGCTTCTGCGACAGAACATGCAGCATGAGCCGGCCTTTGATTCCAGCAGCGATGAGGAGGAGGAAGTCCAGGTTGTGTCTGCCCTCTCTTCCAACTGGCTCACTGACTTCCCCTCCCAGGAGACCTTGGAATCCTTTTACAAACGCCATATCCAAAATGCCATTCGTGACCTGTCAGGCACCTGTGAGTTCGTGGAGAGCTTTGTAGATGACCTGATTGAGGCCTGTAGGATGCTCAGCCGCCCAGAAGCTCACCTGCAGTTGGAGGACTGCCTGGGCATTGGGGCTCTCTTTGAGAAGTGTGGAATCCTCCACAAGACTCAGAAATTTGATGTCTTGGTACCAATTGTCCCACCACAGGGTACCATATTTGTCTTGGAGATGAGGGATCCGGCCCTCGGCCATCGCTGTGGCAATGTGCTGGTGGAGTCGGAATGCGTGTGCAAGCGTGAGAAGCTTCTGGGGGATGTGTTGTGTCTGGTGCACCACCATGGGGACCTGATGGCAGGCTCAGGCAAGTGTAACAGCTCCATCAAAGCATCTCTCTGCACCGGTGTCCATCTGGATGTGTGCAAGACTGTGCAGTGGTTCCAGAGCATGGTGGGTAATGCCTGGGCTCTCGTGGCTCACAAGTATGACTTTAAGCTCAGTCTCCCACCATCTACCACCTCCTGCAAGCTCAGGCTGGACTACCGCTCAGGTCGAGTTCTCTCCATCAGCTTGGTCCTCGGGGTGCAGCGGGAGGATACCTTGGTCTACCTAGTGAGTCAGGCCCCTGAGCAGGAACAGCTCACCAGTGTGCATTGGCCCGAGTCCTTTGCAGCCTGTGAACACTTGTTCCTGAAGCTGGTGGGACGTTTTGCCCCTGAGAACACCTGTCATCTCAAGTGTCTCCAGATTGTTCTGAGTCTCCAGGACCGCCAGAGCTTACCCACGGGGGCATCCCACCCCATCCTCACCTCCTACCACTTCAAAACAGCCCTCATGCATCTGTTGCTACAGCTGCCCCTCACGGACTGGCAGCACAGCATGCTTTCTCGGCGGCTCCAGGACCTTTTCCGGTTCTTGGGCCACAGCCTCCAGCAAAGATCCCTCCATCATTTCCTCATTGGTAACTCCTTCCTACCCCTGACCATACCGATTCCCAAGACATTTCGGAATGCTGAACCTGTCAATCTCTTCCAACACCTTGTGCTGAACCCTACAGCACACACACAGGCAGTGGAGGAGTTCCAAAACCTTCTGACCCAGCTCAAAACTCTGCCCTGTGCTCCATTGGCTGGAATGTCTTAATATAAAGGCCTTGAAAAAAAAAAAAAACAACTTTCTGATGTTTCCAGCTGCAAAAGTTTATTTTTCACTTATGTCAGTAATATATGTGACCTTCTCCTTGCAGGGGGTGGAGCATGAGAGAGGAAGACACTTTGAGAAGTGGACATGGGAACCTAATCTAGGGTGGAGCTGAGGTTTTCTTCTGATCTTTCATCATGAACCAGACAGTCCAGGGAAACAGATGTTATGGGAAAATCTTGCTGCTAAGGAGCGAAGATGCTGTGAAGTTGTATTTCTATATCAACACTGGAAGTTTAAGAGAACCAGAGAATACCTCCATTCCGACTTACTCCTTTCTGTGAACACTCACAACACATTCCTTGAGAATACTTTCCTTGTTGAATTGTTGGCTGAATTCCCATTCAAACTGTGGCACTCCATCCCAAATATTGTGATGGCAACTTCTCCTGTTAGGATCTACTTTTTCAAACCTTCACTATTTTGAAACTATAACCAAGATGTTTTCCATTTTCTTAATTAGCCCAATTTTCATATGACATTATGGCTGTTTTTATGCATCTGAGAAAAAACTACAGTAATACCCAAATAATTTGTCAATATTGATTCACAAATATTAAAGTCAGTGGTAACCTGTCCCGTAGTTGAGATAATGCTTTTCCTATAACTAATAAAATAGCCAATATGCAATGACCTGCCCAGTGGCTGGAAGCAGCTTTATGAAACACATCATGACAAGCTTTCTGGGGGTTCTGAGGCAAACAATTTGTTTCTGAGTGATAGCCACTTGTTAATTACATAGAAGGTCTTTAGCTACCACATGGAGCTGTGTGTCTTCTGGCCCTGCCTTTGTATTCTCTTTTCAAATACGACAGATTATTTAAGTATTTTTGCAGTTTTGAAAAGAGGGGTTATCACAATCCAGGCCCATTGCCAGGGCTGGACAGGAAGGGACTGTAAACCATTCAACTGCAACAGTGTCCTGATTCTAGAGATATGTTTGGTATATTTTCTTGAGCATCCTGAGGAGTCTTGAGAAACAGTCTGGGTGTGGTTGTTTTGGAAATATCACGCTGTTCCTACCTAGCACTGCCAGGAAGACCTGCTGGGGAGGAGAGCCTGGTCCCACATTTGACTTGGCCTCAGTGAGGATCACATGTTGGCTTTAGGGCTTCTGTTGTGGAATCTACATTCCTCTCCCCAAATCCCTGGGAAAATAAAAGTCCCGGAAGCTGATATCAGTTAGTATTTCAGACTCTTGCTGCACAGTAGCTGTTGTTTTCCATATCACCTGCTGACATCTGGCAGGTAATGCTTTCAAAGTAAGGTACAGTGATGGTGGGCTGGGGATTTAGCTCAGTGGTTACAGTGCCTGCCTCACAAGCACAAGGGCCCAAGTTTGATATCTGGTACTAAAAAAAAAA